GTTTTGAAGGGAGGTGCACCCTTCTTGCCCCCCATGCTCTGCCCACCTCGGAGCTACTGCCCCATACCAGGAGAGGCCGGTTAACCTTTGCCTGGAGCTCAGCTCAGCTCCCAGGGAGGGCACCAAGCGCAGAAGTCCTCCTGAATGCCAGTGTGCCGTATTTATGTACGGGACAGTGGCATGCGTGGCATGTCCCGCAATAAACATTTGCCCTGATTAGCTGGATTAGTGAGGGAGCACTTTATTTAGGATCAGAGTATTCCTGACTTGATTTCTGAAAATACCACTGTTGTGCTTTTTATTTTCTTTTATGGTAGCTCAGAGTGGGAGCCTGTCAGTTCCCTCTCTTCCCAGCCAGAATAAGTAGTGCTTGAGGTCTGGAAGTGTCTGTTTTGAGTAGGTGCATCCTTCGTGTTCTGCCTCTGCCAGGTTTCCCCTGCAGCTGGAGAGCGGTCAGACAGTGGAGTGCACAGTGGCTCAGTACTTTAAGCAGAAATACAACCTGCAGCTGAAATACCCCCACCTACCCTGTCTCCAGGTTGGCCAGGAGCAGAAGCACACATACCTGCCCTTGGAGGTGAGTGTCAGCTCTGCACCGCTGGGCGCCCCGGCTTTTGATCACCGTGCAAAGCAAAGGCAAGTGGTCTTTGCTGGCAGATGCACGACAGTATTCTGCAGCTAATGTGTTGTGGGCACTAATTGCTTCAGTGCTGACCTGGCAAGTGCCACTTCTAGCAAATGAGGGAGGAGACCATGCTGTAAAAATGCCGTTTTCCTGCAGCTGCAGGCTCGGCACCTCTGGTTTGGGGCTGGCTGCAGGGCCCAAGTGCTGTACCCACGGGGCAGCTCAGCTGTGGGCCCCTGTGTCTCGCCTGTCCCTAACACGTGGCTGCTATCTCTCCCCTCCCGTGCAGGTGTGCAACATCGTGGCAGGCCAGCGGTGCATCAAGAAGCTCACAGACAATCAAACGTCAACCATGATAAAAGCAACAGCTAGGTCTGCCCCAGACAGGCAGGAGGAAATTAGTCGCTTGGTACGTGGCACGAGTCCCTGGGAGGGACGGTGTCGGGGCTGCAGCTCTGGTGGCAGGTTACAGCGTCATGTCCATGATGAACCTTGTGGTCCTGCTCCTCAGTTGCTCTGCACTGGGGAGCTGCAACCTGCTCAGAAGATGCTGGTGGGGTTAATGGTTTGGTTTTATCCCCCTTTTCTCACTGAATCTCTGGTCAGAGATACCTGCATGTGTGTAATGGACACTTGCATAGAGGAGCCCAGCTCAAAGTGACCGTGGAAACTCGTGTGCAGCAAATTCAGGTCCTCACGCTGATGGAACGTGACCCAAAGGGAGCTGGAACTAAAAATAGGAAAACAAATTAGAGAAATGACCCTGGCTCTGGGTGTATGTGGGGACTGTGCTCTGGGTGTACGCGGGGACTGTGATTGCGGTACGGGAGCTCTGCATGTCAGCTTGGGGCGAGCCAGAGGAACGGAAAACCCGGCTCCACCAGTGGCTGGGCAGGAGCTGGTTAATGGTGCTGTTACCCAAACGGATGTCTCAGGGCTTTCGAAGTTGATGACATTTGTATTCCTTCTGGGACCCTTGATAACAGTCTCATGCCAGTCTGAACCTTCCCACTGAAGCCTTTAATCTCAGGAGCAGGCTTTGCTCTCAGTTGCATTGGTCAGTGTGTTCAAAAATCAGGTCCCCCGGGGGTCAGTTTGGAGGACAGGGTTTGGCCCTTTGTCTTAAACTGCTTGCCCTGCCCTTACAGAGAGGACTTCAGCTCTGTAGAGAATGTGACTTTAGGTACCTGTGTTTCCCGGCCAGCTGAAGCTGCGTGGGATGTGGCAATTAGTCTCGCTTCCTCCCATGGCCCTTCCTTCCCTCTGCAGATGAAGAACGCCAGCTACAACCTGGATCCATACATTCAAGAGTTTGGGATCAAGGTGAAAGATGACATGACGGAGGTGACGGGGAGGGTCCTGCCAGCACCCATCCTGCAGTACGGAGGCAGGGTAAGCAGGGTTGTGCTGCCCGGATGTTGGGCTGTGTTGTGCAGACAGATGCTTTCACACCAGAAAATGCTGTTTCTGAACAAAACTTGTGCTACCTTCAGGTTTGTAGGTTAGAGCTGGAATTTTTTATCAGAGTGCCTTGGGCTTGTGGGTTTTGGTTTTTTTTTTTCAATATAACTCTTCTGAAAGTTGTAGCCAAGAGTCAATTCGGTGACAAAAAAAGTGAGCTGAATGGGAGAGGGATGCTCAGGGTAAGGCAGCTTGGGTGAATGTTCCGTCACCATGGAGGAGCTGAGACTGTGAATTGCCCATCGCAGAGTGCCATAGCAGACCCTGGCAGTGCAGGGAAGTGGCTCCGGTGAGGGCATATGAGTTTGTGATGGGGAGCACAACCACAGCATGTGCGGGTGCTCCCCAGGGGCTGCCAGCGTGGGGCCGGGCAGGTCGCGGCAGCGCTCTGACCGTCTGTTTGCCTTGCAGAACCGGGCCATTGCAACTCCCAACCAAGGCGTGTGGGACATGCGAGGGAAGCAGTTCTACAACGGCATTGAGATCAAAGTCTGGGCGATTGCTTGCTTTGCCCCGCAGAAGCAGTGTCGAGAGGAGGTGCTGAAGTAAGGAAAGGGGCAGCCCGTGCGGGTGGGGTGAGCCGGGAGAGCTGTGCCGGCACCGGTGTGGCCACCCTGCTGCTCCCAGCCTGGGGCTGTGTGTCCTTCACCACTAATGCTGGATCTGAATTGCTCGTGGTACAAATTTACTCTGGGTTCAGACTGGGTGTTCAGTATTGTTTCTGTTAGTTTATCCAGAGTGCCTGACTGTTTATCCTGGCTGCAAACAGTCCCTGAGCCATCGCAATGCCTGCCAGGTTGGAGTGAGCACATCGGCACTCCAGCATGTGTGAGCTGACAGTCAGGCTCTCCTCGATCTGCTCTTTGCATCAGGTAGCTGCAGTATCGTGATCTTATACTACCAGCCTGAAAGCTGTACTGAACTCTTCTAAGCTGAATCTCCTCAGAGAGATGAGGATGTGAGGGATATTTAATTAAAAGTTTCCCCAATACTCTATCTGAAATAATGTAATTCATGTAGGAAGCATCCTAACTCGCCACAGGTTTTTATTACAGAAAAGTTTTAGGCTTTCTGAAAAGCTGTAGTAGCTTAGAGATTCTCTGCTTCGTTAGCAGAGTGACACAGAGCGGGGACAGTTCATTTGGTTTAGGGAAATGGTTGCCCTGGTCTTGGATTCTTCTGGGGACTTAGGTTTTTCCTGACCAACAGTGGATGCATCAAGGCAAGTGTTTTGTGTGTCCCTCTTCTGGGTGTTTGGCACAGTTAACGTTTGGGATGGTTTGGAGCAACTCAAAAGTCTCGATGTCTGCAGTAACGGGGTGGAGGTGGGAGTGATGCCGCACACCTCCTGTGACCCCCTTTGGGGTAGAGCTGGGAGCCCCACACTGCCTCTGGCTCCCCCTGCACCAAATTTATCCTTGCAATCCAAAAATCTGGAGTGTGGCTGAGCATTTTGTCCAGTTTGGTAAGTGAAGGCTTGCATCAGCTTTGCAAATCACCTGGAAATCAACTGTCCCAGGCAGCATGTCAGCTCCCCTCTTCAGCGTTCTAACAGAGAGCGGCTCACAGCTCCATCACTTCAGGAAGAGTCAGTACTCGGGTAAGAGGGCACAGAGAGGGGACAGTTCAGCTCTAACACGTGTTGGTCTTGCGTTTCCTGCGCCGCACACTTGCTGGATGCTGTAAAACCACAGGCATGGTGACATGGTGGGCATGTCTGTCCTGTGCTGCAGCGCTCCAGCTGCAGGTCCCTTCTTGCTCAGTGGCTGGGGTGCGTGGCAAGCTGCCGTGCGGAAGGGCTCAGGACTTACTGCTTCTCCTCCTGGGCACAGGAACTTTACAGACCAGCTGCGCAAGATCTCCAAAGATGCAGGGATGCCGATCCAAGGCCAGCCCTGTTTCTGTAAATACGCCCAGGGTGCAGACAGTGTGGAGCCCATGTTTCGACACCTCAAGAACACCTATTCAGGGCTTCAGCTCATCATTGTCATCCTGCCAGGGAAAACGCCAGTATACGGTGCGTCTGGGGCAGGGGCAAGTGGGGAGAAGAAAGGGGCTTTGCTATGGCTCAGCAGGGCTGGTTCTGCTCCTCCCATGGCGATTTCTCTCCCCATTTCCGAGGATGCTGCTGGAGGCGGTGCATTGCAGGTTGCCTGTCTGTTCACCTGCTTCCTCTGCCTGCAGCCGAGGTGAAGCGTGTTGGGGACACCCTCCTGGGAATGGCCACGCAGTGCGTCCAGGTCAAGAACGTGGTGAAAACCTCCCCGCAGACCCTTTCCAACCTCTGCCTCAAGATCAACGTCAAGCTTGGTGGGATCAACAACATCCTTGTGCCTCACCAGCGGTTCGTACAGCCACTGCCTCTTGCGGCTTTAAGGCTTATTTCCCAAGTCCCTTGGAACAGGGAACTGATGCTGCCTGCCTGGCTTTACCTGGGGAAGAGGGGGCCTGTGGGCTGCTGCATAAAGTAGCTCTTTGAAACATAGATTTGCAGCCTCTTTCGCCTTGTAATGAGCTGTTGATGTGCCCTGGCCAGAGCCCAGAGGTCGGGGGGTGTCCTGTGTGATCTGATCACCTCCATCAGGCTGTGCATCACCCTGGGATGCCCCCGAAAGGCTGACTGCTGCTTTCTTATCTCTCCCACCAGCTCTGCCGTCTTTCAGCAGCCAGTGATCTTCCTTGGGGCCGATGTCACTCACCCGCCGGCAGGAGATGGGAAGAAGCCCTCCATAACAGCTGTAAGTTCACTGTCCGTGGCCAGGCTCGGTGCCCAAGAGCCCTGCAAGGACGCAGGAGCTGGAATGGGACTTGTGTGTCCATAAAGGAGCTGTGTCGCCCTAAGTGACACTTCTCAGGGTGGCCCCATGCCCTGTAGGGTGTTTTCAGTCCCACTCTCGGGGCAGTGGGTCCCTGATCCCCTCCTGCCTCTCTGCAGAGGAGCTGCGGTTTTGGGGAGCCGCCGGGAGAGCTGGCAGCTGCCAGCAGATGGGGCTCGTGATGTGCCAGACCCCGTGAGCGCTGTCGGACGGGGTGCGCAGGGAGCTCGGTGCAGCCGCTGTGCTCGCCAGAGCCATCCCCAGGCATCCTGGTCCTGCAGCACAGGCCTAGAAGGGACTTTCCCCAGGCGGGAGAGCTGGGGTGTTGGAGATGGGGAAACTGAGTTGACTGAGCTGCTTCTGAGCCTTTCAGGGAGAAGGATTTGCCTTCACCCCAAATGAATAAGGAGCATCCTTTGAGCGAAGTGCTGATCGCATGCCGGTGAGGCTGGGTGGCAGCTTATGCTCTTCATGGGGCTCTAAGACATTGCCTTGTGCTCGTTCCGGCGGCGGAGAGTGTCAGGTTCTTGTAGCGTCTGTTTTAATTAAGCATGTCAGCATTTTCCTATTAAGTTCTTAACTTTCCAGGACTCATAGCTCAGGTTTTCCTTGGCATGCAAATGCATCTTTGGAAGACTGTTTTTTTCTTAATTAGAAGGGGTTGGGAAATGCTTTTGGCTGTTTGCTGTAGGTGTGGGTGGGACAGAACAGTCTGTTTCCTGGCGGCGGCGCTTCCACTCCGAAAACATTTTCTGTGGGTTTTTTTGTACAAGACCACTGTGGAGTTGTTTTTCTTAACTTTCATAAAAGCTTTTTTGAAGCTGCAGGGGAGGAGAAGGGTTGAGCCTTCAGATGGCCTTGGTCTTGTCCTTGGTCCATTGTTAACTAGGCAATAGAAGGGGGTCCATGGCTGAGGCCAAAGGAAACATTTCTGTGGAGCACATTGGCTCTGCTGGTACAGCCCAGACCCTAGAGTTCCGTTTGTGAAGCAAAAGTGAAACCGGTGCTGAGGGCGGGGCAGCAGGCTCGACGCTGCTGAGGATGTGGGGTCTGTGGTGCTTTCCTTGCACACCGGGGCACGTGGACCACACGATGCAGCGAAGCAGCTGGGCATTTGTGTCCCAGTGTGGGCCAGCATCTGCTTTGACACCCGTGACTCATGCTGTGCCCCCAGCCCTGCATCACAGCTGAGCCTGGCTGCTCTCAGCCTCTTTGCCCTGATGTCCTTGAGGTCTCCCCTCCAGAGTGCCCGTCTGCAATGGGAACTCCCTGCTCGACGGCTGCCGTGCGGGGACTCAGCCCCGCCGTGTCCTCGGGAGGCGGCAGCGCCGGCGGGGCAAGACCACGGCTGTCTGGGATAGCTCCGCTGCCTGCAGCCGAGCAAGGGCAGGGACATGATGCTGGCAGATGCTCCATGCAAACATTAACCTGGCTCAGTTGCCTTTTTGGGCAGAGGGTCTCTAGGTAGCCCGGGGTGGGCAGGGCATTTGTGCCACAGTTGGAGGGATAAGGAGTGGCCGATAGCAGAGCTCCCTGGTGTTGCTGTGATAATGGACCTCAGCAGCAGCTGTCAGAGCAGTGGCGTTGCAACTGCAGATTGGGGTTTTGTCATTGCCCTAACTAAAACAGCAGAGCAGAGTTGGGTGTCACACAACCTTTTGTGGAAGCCAGAAACCTCGGGTGAGGGATGGAGGGAGAAAGGCTTACATAGGCAGAAGGGGCAGGGCCCCCTGGCCCCCTCCTGTT